TTTACAGCCTTATCGTCAATTCTATTGTTCAGGTAACAACCTGTCACGAGAAAGCCAATGTTTTCTGTACCCGAGTTCGCCACGCTCTTCAGCTGTACAATAAAATTGACAACAGGGCTGTAAAACGAATTAACTTTAGGAGTCCATAAAATTCTTATAATTCTAGACAAACTTTACCGTAGGCGGGAGTACCGACCCTTTTGGTCTAAGTAGGCTCACCCTCCGTGAAGTACTTGCTAAGGTGGAACTTATTTTGGCAAATGATATATCCTCTGAGAAAAGAGAGGGGTGACGGGCGTAGCTAGTAAAGTACTCCAAAAGCCATAAGGTTATATGGCCATCATAAAATTATCCCATTGTGTCGAAGTTAAGTTGTTTACAATAGAAAAGGTTTTAAGGTCGTAAATAACGTGTCTACTGCAGCTCGACCGACTACTGTCGGTTCCTTCAGGGGTGGCTTTCACTAAATATCTAACTCCCTACTACTACTACCTGCAACCACAAAGGGTTCCCAAATAACCAATCGCTTTGAAAGCCGGCCCTGTTAAATGTGAGCAAGAAATGTTTAGGAGACGATTTGTTGAAAACCGGTAAGCTTAGTGCGAACCACACAAAGGGGGTATTCATTTGCGGTCAACTACTTTTATGATTTTGCTCCTATTAAAGTTGTAAATTAAACTTGTTAAATTTAAAAGGTGTCAAGTTGCAAATTTCCATAGTAACGAGTTAAATTCCTAAATCTGATTGGATGTTTATTTTTTAACAACTTATAATTCATTAATTTTTTTGAGTCACCCTGTTTAAGCAAATATAAAAAATATGAATCACAAGTAGGTATAGACTGATCATAATTTGCATATTTTAGATAGTATTTGTCCGGAAAAATTTTGAGATGACTTCATCAATTTTTTGGAGGGGATAAGCGAATATATTTTGATTAAAAAATTATTATGCTTACCATAAATTTAAAACATCTGCAAGATTTCAAAGCATTCAGTTTGGTAGATTCAAAATGAAATTACAAAATGTTGTTTTATAATTTCGATTCTTTTCCAAAAATCTGGACATATCGGGTAAAAACTGCATGTGTAGGACTATGTTATTTTATACAATTTAAAACCCATTTACTTTCTACAATTTTGCAGTGACGTCATCACATTATTGGTGGTGATGATTAGACAAATTTGTTTGATCCACCAGCATTTTTTTCACGTTATTTCAAAATTTTGCAAAGTAAATCGTACTTTAATTTTGTAAAATAACATGCTGCTATATAAGTGGTATATTAATATGTTCTTATTTTTTCCGTAAACGTCTAGATTAAAAAAATAATAATAATAAAGCAAGAGTTTATTATTTAACTATAAAAACGATTGCCTCGGAATTTTGCAAACGTTATAAGGTTCTAAACATGGTCAATCGCGAAAACAAATTTTTTTGTTTATCCCCTCCAAAAACTTGTTGAGGTCTCCTCGAAATTTTGATGAGTAAATCTTATGTGAAATGTGAAAAATATCATGGATCGATATTTGTAATTTATCAGTAGGTACATTTATATTGTTAGGTCATTTCAAAAAATATATATATATAAATGAAGAAATTTATTTTATTGATTAAATCAAGAAAAGCGTACCTCAGTTTCCTGAAATTATGGAAACGTAGTGCTATTATTAATTTTATTAGTATTGCAGTGTACCTATTCAAACTAATATATTGGTCCTTGTTAAAAAGTTGAGCAGCACTCCTACTTTATTTTAACTTACAGAAATTATCATTAAATAATAAAATACATATATTTTTTTAAAGATTGAGTACGTCTTGGGAACCGCTGCTGTTTTTATTTTTGACAGAATTTGAAAAAATTTGGGTGAACCCCTGGTGTTTTAGTTTTGGAATATTCTACTGAGGGACGCCTAAGTTTTTATGTGTGAATTTTGAAAAAATATGATTCCTGATGTTTTTATTAACTTGTAGGTGTCATAATAAAAAAATTAAATCTGCAAAGTTAAATTTTGTAATTTATCTTAGTAACTGAATTTGAAAAACTACCTGGTATACCAAATGTCTTTATTATGAATCAAATGCTCGAGTAGTTGTTACAATAAAAATACACATTTTTTCACAAGGAAAAGCTACGTGTTAAATGTGAATAACAAACTACAAAAAAGTAATAGTTTGTTAAATATATTCCGCTTGACAGACAAATTTTTATTGCTTTTTAATCTAGTTGGAGTTGAATATGTACAGCAGGTGAACGAATATCTTATTTTATTGAATTAAAAAAAATATATCACTGTAAATTTTGGAGATGAGATCATGCCATTCATGGTGAGGATGATGAGCCAACTTTTAGTTAACGTTTGACAATTTACATGATATTCCTATTATACATATATATACTTATATAATTTGACAACAATCGATTCAGTAGTTTCGGAGATTATATGTCTAATAAATTTCGACACCTACACCAGACATATAGACAGACAGACAGATAAACTGAAACGGGCGATCACTTTTTTCGTACTCTAGTCGCCGGATGGACTCGATTGTTATATTTTCTTAGCTTACGCTCAGGAAACAAAAAGCATAAAGCAAGATATTCGAGTTTTTATTTATGTACTTAACTTGTTTAACATAAAAATTTGGTCAGCAAAAAATTTTATTAAACTTATGAAAAACTTTTTTCTGGAAAATTTAAAAATAATACAGATTTGCAAAATATGCGTGGTTATTTTCGACGAGATTAATAGAACTCTGCCAATGAGGCATCAAGAAATGCTATAACAGTATGTATTGTTTAACGTTTCATATTTTATAGCTTTTGTTTGTCTTAATAAATAATGTCAACGTTATTTTATTGTTTTGTGCGATTCTTTACCAATTGCAAACGCTACTATAGAATAGAATTGTTTATGTATACCTGTACATAAAAACTATTTATAGAATAAATTCAATAAGATGGAAATTAATACTATTAAAAAAAGTGTGCAAGGCTTCTAAACAATTTTTTTTTATAATCGTTTTCGTATTTAGACAGGTTTGAAAGTTTCATATTCAAAACAATTATTTTACACCGACAGATTCTAAATTATTGTATAAAGATACAAAAACTATCCCAATTGAAGTAATAGATCTATACAAGCGATGTTTCTATTGTGGTCAAACAGTAGGTACATATATTTTTGTTATTTACTAGGGCATATAGACAGTATGGATGATTTGTTTCTCTTGTAAAAACAGATAAGACTATTGCTTTCAAATGCTTATCTTTTAAGTTAAATGAATACACAGCTTACTGTAGTATGGAAAATCATGACTAAGAATAAAGTCAACAAAGTGACATTAGAGGGTTTACCACAGATGCTAATCAGCTTTGTATTTTGAAGAGGGCGGTCCACTAAACATTACGTTATTATTATCAGAAAGATTTATAATGTTTTGCGGTGACTAGGCATAACAATCATGTTGACAAAACAATAAACAAGCAACAGGCAATAACAACAACGGACCTTAACGAGTGCAACGCAGAAAGCTATTGTTATTTGCATGTTCAAAACAACATTTTATTAAAGCTGTACAAACCGATGTTCTTGTTAATACCGAATGAGATATTCCATAAACCTATAATAAAGTACTTATATCAATGGTTATCATGTTATCAAGTATAAGATTTCTTTAAAACACCTCTCTTTCTGCAAAAAATACTGAGCTCCATTTTTTTCTACAAATTTTTTCGAAGTAGCTTTGTGAGATACTGGAAAGTTTCAAACTGTTGGTACTGGCAGATAACTCGAACTGCAGATGAATTTTCAAGGTCTGTTCGAATTTGACCCAAAGCCAAGGGTCAGAGTTCGTTTGATAACATTTAATGAACTAGCATCCCTTGTTTTTTGTAAGTAACGATATATGACTGGCTCGCAGCATGAAATTTTGAAAGATTACGCAAGGAATTTATAAATAAAATTTAAACATTTGTCGTCAATGAATTTTATGATTTAATAAACTGTAAGTACATATCTGTTTCATTGACCTGCTGTACCTAAACTGATTTTACAAAGCGTTGTTTATTGTGATTTATAACACCTATACTATGTATTTAAAAAATATATACTGAAATAATTGAAACAATATGTTGTAGTGTTTCTGACCCTTTCTTCGTTTAAAATATTCTGTCAGTCGCTAGGTACCTCTAGCTCTTGTGAGGTATTCAGTATATTTTCAGAACTAAAATTAAATTTAAATTTAACCTGTCCACAACTCTCTACATAACACAAGATCAGTTTTTTAAACAATTTATCATCATCGTTCTTTTTAAAATTTTGGTGAAATTTTTCATCACGTATCTCCCAAAATTTGAATTATTTATGGAAATTTCAGAACGCGGTTTTCACCCTTGTTTTCAAAACTCAAGCTGCTTGCGTTGAAGAAATTGGTTTTAGTGTAACTTATTTCAGACAAAAAATATTCTGTAATTTCTTGAGCTGTGTAACTGAAACCAGTGGTGAAAACCGTATTACGAAAATTCCATGAATAATTGAGATACTGACTTTTAAAAATACATGATGAAAAAAGAATGATGATAAACAGTTTAAAAAAAGGGAAGAAAATTGTAGATAGCTTATCTTTAAAATTTCATAACAATAAAAATGTACATATCTTAGTAATGGAGATTCGGAAAATATATTAAATACCCCACATTGTATTGATGACGAGTATACAAGGTACCTACATTACATTTTACACAGTTTCTCAAAAATCGTGTTAATAATATTATTAATAAGCGTTATTGCAATGCCGATTGCGGTTTACCTACTTGATTGTCTGTTTTCCTTTGAAATAGCTAAGCAGTGATTATTTTCCTGACAAAAATCAGTGAGGAAAGTAGGGAACGGGAATAGTCATGTAAACAGTTTACCTGATTAGTCATGCACAGGCTTTACCGGACTAGTCATGTAAACAGGCCCTGATTTAAATTTAATTATATTTTTGAAATATGATTTTTCATGTTTGAGAAATTTTATTTACAAAATGAACAGTGGTATTTTAAACATCTGATACATTTACATGAGATTACAATGCACTTTTATTTAACACAGCAACACTGTCTTCTGGTAACCACCAAGTTAAATATTTCAAAAGCTCTTATTTCAGATCGTGACCAACAGAAACTTCTCGAGTACTTACTTTAATCAATTCCTCGTCACTTTTTTCTAATTTTCAATTCGTTTAGCAGTCACAGGTGGATATTTTGTCAGCCACTATCCGTTTTTACCTTAGTTATGTCTTCACCGCCATACAATAACAGTTCGCAAAATTTTCAGCAAAGAGTGTTAGTTAAGTTTCCTTCGCCACTGGATTCATATTGTCAATAATTATGGATTGGCAATTGCCATTGCATCATTGATTAACACAATCTGAAAAAAAAATAAGAAAACTTAGTACAAAAAAAGTCATTACTTATTTTCAGCATTCAAAAATTTTTATTTGGAGCATCTCGAAACAACCGGTCGATTTCAACCTTTGATAAAATGTTTAATTTCTTTATTAGCGAACTTGTTACGAATATTCAGTTTTTTAGATTACCTAAGTTACAAAAGTCGATTAAACAATTTAATTTTCTTATGATAACACCTATATGTCCAAGATTTTCATTTTACGGGCGTAATTTCAACTTTGAAAAAAAAGATCGACATTTCAATTGATAGATTATGTCTAAATCTCTGGGGAAGACACAATATTTTTTAAAATAAGTGATTGTTTAGTGTTTAATTAATCGTTCATTCTTCGAAGGACATTGCATTTTTAGACGAGGAGAGAGCATTTTTCGCTTCAACTTTTATATCAGTGCAAAGACAACATTGAGCTCTATGGGGAAGACACGGTCATTTTTGTTTAAAATTTATATTTATCAACATAGGTATTTGCTTTTTAAAAAAATACTGACTGATAAAAATAAAGTGAAACTAGACAACTCTATTTACAAAGTTTTCCGTTTCAATAAATGGCTGAGTTTTACACAGCAGGGAGCCTTGCCGACCGACCCTTACAGGTAATCAGTCCAGGTACTTTAGGTCATAAAACTCATAAATACTTTTAGCTGACTAACATTGTTTAAACTATTTTACAAGTCGACTTTTTTCATTGCTGACATAATTTAATTTAAAAGTATGCAAATTTTTATAATTTTATATATTCTACTAAAATATTTTCTTTGAAAAAATTATTCGAATATTTTTTATTAATCTGTCATTTTATGTATTAATTAATACACAAAACTGACAAGATTTAGATTCTCATCACTTCACTAACCACTTATTTACCTGAACAATCATATTTATTTAAATTTAATTTTTTGATACTCTTTTCCGCACCACCTATGAGGTAGAGTATTATAAGCACGTTTTTTACGTGATATCTTCAGTAAACCTATTCCAATATTACTATTTATTCCTGTGTGTGTTTATACTAGAAGGGCAAAAGATTTATATGAACTACACATGACGCGAATGCAAATAAAAATTTTTAATTGTACAATTTTTTCTTTACAATTTGTCTAATGGGTTGACTTGTTTAAAAACGAGAATCTACTCTCTCCGGAAGTAAGGCATATAAATAAAATTTTTCTAGGGCTCTATCATATTATTTTCCCAAAATTTATCATCTCGTTGAATTAAGCATTGGACATTTTATATATTTTTACGATAGCGTTTTTGTTTATTAAGCCGTCTGGCGATGCCGCTAAAAATGTACAAACCGCATTGTTTTATCGTCAGTTTGGTGTTACTGCAAAATGCTTCAGTTGCCCTTGCTTCATTTTCTATGCAAAGATTTTGGGAGAGTACATGCTGAACTAGATTTGCAGGGATGTAAAATGTTTTTCACAGTACAGTAGGATTAGCCGTGTTACTTGTTCTCTCATTTTGCAAATTTTACCAAAATAACGTTCGGTTAGTCTAAAGGATTTTTCTGCGCACCATTCTGGATTATTGCGTTCGCCAATTGTGTTTTGTTCGATTAAAAAGACATCAACGTTTGAAAGTTTTTTGAGAAATACTTTTTGCCCTGTGACATATCAGGTATTTCAACTGCCTCGTTAGATACATCGTCGCCCGAGAACTTGTATGATCCACAGACCGGAGCGCGCTCAGGCCAATGTCGACTCTATAAGCCTCCAGAAATTCTGCGGGAAATAGTTATTATTTAGATGCTTTTGTTTACACACGTCTCACATGTTTTACTCGATTTCGACACTCAACTACTTTTTTGTTTAACTAAAAATTAATACTTTCATTGCGTTTGATACTAACGTCATAAATTAGCAATACTAGTGGAACAGTAATCATGGAATAGAATTTTTTGGGAAAGTACAGTTATTTTTATGTTTTAGCAACAATGTGTTCTATTTTCTATTAATTTTTACATATTTTTAGTCACAATTTTGGTAATTATTTTTTACTTTTATTTTTAGCAATAATAAATAGTCCAAACATGAAAAAATAAAAAAAATTAAAATTGGAAAATCTAAAATTTAGAAATCGAGAAATTGAACAATCGTATAACTGAAAAATCGAAACATCGAAAAACTGGAAAATCGAAAAATTAAAAAAAATGGAAAATCAGAAATTTAATGAATTCCGAAAATTGAAAAACTGAAATATGCATAGAAGAACTGAAAACTCGAGAAATCGAAAAATCTAGAATTTTAAAAATTGAAAAATTAAAATATCGAAAAGTTGAAAAATTGTGGAATCGTATCATTGAAACATCGGACAATTGAGAAATCGAAAAATAAAAAAATGGAGAAACCGAAAATTTGAAGAATGGAAGAATTGCAAATGTCAAAAATTAAAATACTGAAAAATTGAAACCTCAAAAATTGAGAAATCGAAAAACCGAAAAACAGAAAACTCTCAATAATGTACTTATAAACCACAAGTTCAGGATTATGCTACTAAAAAATTGATAACGTCATCTCAAAATTTTGCTGAATAAATTATACTAAAAATGTGCAAAATAAGGTGAGTTTTTACTTGTAATTTATCATTGCATTCATATTTTTTTAGATTTGCTAGGTTAATGAATGAGTCAATTTATTCTATTGATTAAATCAGTCTCGACTCACTCCATTTTCCCAGAAATTTTTGGAATACTGTTATTTTTAGTCTAATCCACATTGATTTACGTGTCCTTGCAAAATGTTGATGATTTCATCACAAAATTGTGTACCTAAAGTAAAAATTTAACTCGAAAATGCTGGATATCTTTCATTGTATTTTAGGTGCGAGGTAACTTCTGTCGAAACAACTTTCCACCAATTTTTTTTGCTGTTATATTTGAACATAAACAGTTTATTTTATATATTTTTAAAACATTATAAAGAAAATAAAAAGTTGTGTTAGACTGAACCTTGTGGGTTTCTCAATCTATTTTCCGCAGCATTTTAAACTTTCAACTCAATTTCTTTCAAAATACATACAAATGGATTTCGATGGTTATTTCCCTGTACCCTTCATTTGAAAATAAATAAGCTTATCTGGTGTTGTTTACCGATTTGCATTTTATGACGGACTCCAGTGACCATAATCTGTCCTCTCTTGGGTCGCTACCTGCCGTGGATCGGTACTTTGGGTTGCATAGTTACAAAAAATAATTCTTCTCACTGAAACCGATTTTGCGAGCGACGACTGGGGACCCAACAAACAAACAGGTTGAGGATCATTTCAAAATATGTATGTGCTTCAGAGCAACTGATTTAGCAAACTCAATTTCAAAAATAAATCTTGTTGTAAAATTTTTATTTTGTTTCCAAAATTCTGTTGGGTTAAAAATTTGCACATCTTAGGTAGGATTTATCCTGCAGAATTTTGAGATGACATCATCACGCTTTTGGAGGGAATGAACAAATAAATTCTGAATACCAACTTACCATGTTTTTTATTTCCTTAAGAAGAAATGTAACATATTTTTTCAATTTTTCTTGTAGAATTTTGATTTAAAATTTATAGGTTTAAATATATTAATTTAGATAATTTAAGTAGAATTTACTCAGCAAGCTTTGATGTGACCACATCTCTACGAAAGAAAAATCCAAAAATTAACGAAGTCCAGAAAGAAAACCGGTCATACTCTTACCAATAAGAGAATTGTTGCTGAAAAAGCGTGAAGATGTGTTTCAGATACAAAAATGAAAATGGTCGAATATCTACCAAAATTTTTTTTTTAGGATATCCTTCAACTTGCGAAACGATGTAATAATCAATGAATGGTAATATTCGATGTAAACGTGTTATATTTTACAAACATGGCAATAAAGCATATCGTGCCGATTGCAATACAAAAAGTTGTCATTTATTTAAACTTTAGTCTATAATTATATTTAAGATCTAACTAAAAAGGTGGTTTACTTATCAGTGTCTACGTGTGAAGTTCTTTTAGAATGGTAAAATTAATTCACACATTTAATGTAAATGAATCCATAATTTAAACGTTACGTGCGCGTGCCTGGATCTCAACGTGAATTTAATAACGGTAACCACAAAAACGTAGATACGTCATTATGTTTTGTCCCATCATAAATTCTTGGCAATTAGCAATTGTATAAATAGGACACAGAGTTATATCACCGTCTACAACTTTAATTCTGTTTTTTAATCCTACGATGTGAAATGTTTTCCATCTAATACTGAGAAAGCAATCGTGTGACGTTTAATGGAATATTTAAGAGGAAAGTATGCACACTAGACTACATATCTGATCTATGACTAATAGCCGCTATTATTACCAGGACGCTTCAAAACAGCAACAACATCGTTACTCCTTGTAAACTTACTTAGACAGTATGTAAATAAATTAAACACCGTAAATATAATTAAGTATGTCTTAACGTTATAAGTGACCTATTGTAAACTTTGCCGAAAAACAATAATAACTAGATATATGTCAGCATCTTGTAGTTAAAATTCCTTACTTTTTAAGTTTTGCTTTATTTTTTTAGATGTATACATATATCTTGCTTTTTTTTTTAATTTTTGCCCATAATGTGCAATCATTTTGTGCTGTTGAAAATTTTCTTTCTGTAGATCTATGCAAAACAACTGTCAGCTTCTGGTGGAATTTTGACATTGTTTTACCATCTTCACGAGATAATTTTATGATTTAAGATTTATTAAGTATTAGGATTGTGTTTTTTCAGTCTTCAAGTACAGTTGGGCTAGTGTAATTATAAATTAAAAAATGATCTCTGTTGCTTTTATTAGGCATTAGTCAATTTAGTAACCAGCAAACTATTACATGAAATTTGAAGAACGTGAGTTCTGTAAATTTTATAATGTTGTCTCAATGTTATACAATCACTAGTTTTGAAGATACAAGACTGAGATGAGTTATAAGTGTGAATTTTTTATTTCAGTAATCG